GCCACCATCGAAGGCCACCATTTTATTCTGGCTCCACCGGAAGCTGAAGCGGGCCTTGGCGACGCTGTTCCTGTCAATGACGTGTCTGATGGCTACCTTGAGAGACTCCTTGATGTTGTAGAGCCTTCTGTTCACCCACCTCTCTAAAACGCCCCCACAATATATATATATATATATATATATATATATAAACTGTAAAGTGGATTAAATTATTAAAAAATCTTTCGACCAGTATTAGTTTTATTTTCGCCTTGGTATTTTACCTGAAATTGAAAAATAACATCCATGCCTGAAGATGATACAAGTTGTATCGAAAGTACTTGCAATATGTTCTGAAAATCTAATCTCAGTTTTTAAAAACAAGGATCGTGTAAGAAGTAATTAAGAGAGGTGGTGGTTTTATTGACGAAAATAAAATATGACACTGTTGTATAATAATATTTTAGTTAAGTGCTTGTCAAAATAAAAGCAAATGCAATGCACTTACAGAAATTTTATTTGTTACTTTCAAAATTAAAAAAATACCTCGTTTAAAGGTGGTTTGTTTTTTTTTAATTAAATAAACCTTTTGGCTGCAATGTATGTCAGTGGATTAAAAAAATTTTTGTGGTTTAAATTCTTTTCTGACGTAGTACATATTAATATTTCTTGTTCGTCATAAAAGTTGGCATTCAGGTTTTCACGTAAATTCTTTAACGGAAATAAATACTGAGTCGAACAGGTTTTAAGCCGAAAATTATGCAAGAAAAAAAGGAATGATTTGCAGTTTCCCCATCTCTCGTTATTTAGTGCACAAACTGTTTGAAACGTGACTATGTCAAAGAACTTGTGATGAGATAGGTAATTAAACTATTTATGCGCGGATATCTTTAGTTTGTTATTTTTAATAATTTCCCTGCAAACAAGGCAATAAAGTCGCTAAGACACAAGAGGTTACTGAGTGTAATTTTTCTGTTTAATTGTATATCAATTCCTTATGGGACAGTTAATGCGGAAATATAATTTTCTTCGGAGCTTGGAAGTAAACATAAATTTAAGCGTGCTACTAGATTGGTATATAGGTCCCACCCTTTTACGGTTGACATAGTTAAATATAACCGCCATTTCTACTCCAACGGCTTCTTTTCACGTACTTCTCGCCTGTGGAACTCCCTTCCGTTTACTTGCTTCCCTGATAACTGCAATCTTCAAAAATTTAAATGCAACGCCAATCGCCATCTTCTAATATTTGTCCATCCCTGTTCATCATTTATCCTTTCCCCATTCCCCCTATATACAGGTTTTTTTCTCTCCCTTTCACTGTATGTAAACCCATGCGAACAAGTGGTACTCCCACCTTGCTTGGGGCAATATGCTTAAAAAATACATGGTAGATGATACCCAGCTTTTGTGCATATACACCCTTATGTAATTTAACTGAAAAAACCGCTTTAGTTTCCTTTCTTTCTCCATACAGTCAGTTTTAGACTCACTGGTGTGACAAGGTGTAATCGATTTCTGTTTTTCCTCAGATTAGGTCATTTGCAATGGTGTGGAGTAATATAACTCTATTTTCGGGGTGTATGTTGAAATATGTTTGGCATTGAAAAATATTTCGTCATCCGTGATTGCATCAGAATTTTATCTCACCTAGCCGCTATTGTCTCGACTGTTGATTAGTTGTCCTATGATCTTTGTCTGCGATGGAATTTACTCCAAGGAAGCGTACGAAAATTGTAACGCTGCGCGAACATGCTGACAAGCCTTACAAGTGAGTAAATCAAAGTACTATAGACTCGACTTGAAACTCTCATGATTTAAATCCGATCGATAATCTGTGGTCAATCTGAAAGGAACGACTTCGTGGAATGGACTTACGAAGTACTAACAGGTGCACTGGGTCATGTTTCATTGGAAAGGTACGAAGAAAGTAAATAATAACGGAATTATTCGTTTTGTTTCAATTAATTTGCAAAAGGCTGTATGTCTGAGAGAAGTTGACATCTTGTGTCTTTAAGACCTCAAATGACCCAGACTTTTAAAAGGTTTCATGTGCATTAAAACAGAAGACAGAAGAATTATCGCTGCATAAGATGTTAAAATTTTAACTCATTCTTTAAGCTGCTTTTTGTAGTTACTATAACGTTTCGGCCGATCCATTCTCCAGCCCTTTACGTTTACTTTCGTAGGAAAGATAGCTTCTAGAATTATTTGAATAGTCCTTATTCTATGGGTTTTTCGGAGTTTTGAACCCATTCTTTCTGTTGATTTTGTTTTGAATTCTCCAGCCCTTTACTTTATCGTAGCTTCTAGATTTTTGCATAGTCATTATTCTATGGGTTTTTCGGAGTTTTGAACCCATTCTTTATGTTGATTTTGCAGTTGCCATAACGTTTCGGCCGATCCATTCTCCAGCCTTCTTCCCGTTTATTTTCGTAGGAAAGATAGCTTCTAGAATTATTTGAATAGTCCTTATTCTATGGGTTTTCGGATTTTTGAACCCATTCTTTCTGTTGATTTTGCAGTTGCCATAACGTTTCGGCCGATCCATTCTCCATTCTCAGTTTACTTTCTTAGGAAAGATTTTATTTTCATTATTCTATGGGTTTTTCGGGTTTTGAACCCATTCTTTCTGTTGATTTTGTAGTTACTATAACGTTTCGGCCGATCCATTCTCCAGCCCTTTAATTTTACTTTCGTAAAAGATAGCTTCTAGAATTATTTGAATAGTCCTTATTCTATGGGTTGTTCGGAGTTTTGAACCCATTCTTTCTGTTGATTTTGCAGTTGCCATAACGTTTCGGCCGATCCATTCTCCAGCCCTTTACACGTTTACTTTCGTAGGAAAGATAGCTTCTAAAATTATTTGTATAGTCATTATTCTATGGGTTGTTCGGAGTTTTGAACCCATTCTTTCTGTTGATTTTGTAGTTACTATAACGTTTCGGCCGATCCATTCTCCAGCCCTTTACACGTTTACTTTCGTAGGAAAGATAGCTTCTAGAATTATTTGAATAGTCCTTATTCTATGGGTTGTTCGGAGTTTTGAACCCATTCTTTCTGTTGATTTTGCAGTTGCCATAACGTTTCGGCCGATCCATTCTCAGCCCTTTACGTTTACTTTCGTAGGAAAGATCCTATTCTTTGTATAGTCATTTATTCTATGGGTTTTTCCCCATTCTTTATATTGATTTTGCAGTTGCCATAACGTTTCGTTCCATTCTCCAGCCTTCTTCCGTTTATTTTCGTAGGAAAGATAGCTTCTAGAATTATTTGAATAGTCCTTATTCTATGGGTTGTTCATTTTTCCCATTCTTTCTGGATTTTGCAGTTTTTTCAGGATCTATTCTCCAGCCTTCTTCACGTTTACTTTCATTCTTTTTGAATAGTCTTTATGGATTTTAAGCCATTCTTTATGTTGATCTTGGAGTTGCCATAACGTTTCGGTCGATCCATTCTCCAGCCTTCTCAATGTTTACTCTCGTAGGTAAGATAGATAGAGAAGCTCACCAAGGCATTTATAGACTCCAAAATCAACGGGGACTGCTCCAAATTAGTGGATTCCATGCCAAATTACATCAAAGAGCTTCTAAAAAAATAATGGCGGACATACAAAGTATTAACATGTGCACGGCGGGGGGCACGTTTTATTGGAAAAATACAAAAAAAAAGTAAATAATAACAGAATTATTCGTTTTGTTTCAATTAATTTGCACAATGGTGCACATGTTTGTGTTGGCATAGTGAGAGGCGATGATGTCTGTTTTATCTTGTAGTTTGTATTGTAATTATACAGGGTGTCCATAAAGTTCGTGAAAAATTTATATCTTTATTTGTATTTGCGATAGAAATAATTTGTAAAAAGGATTAGAAAAAAGTAAATCTATATTTTTTAAGGTTTTATTGAAATTTTATTTAAGTTTCCACATGTCCTCCATCATTAGCAATACAAAGGGTAATACGATTTTGCAGTTTACGGAAAACATTTGCCAACTGCTTTACAGTAATGCCTGAAATCACATTAGTTATTTTAGCTAGACTTAAACTTGTCGGATATTATAAGATTTAATGTCATGAAAGTTCTGTATGTTGATTGTTTGGTAGTATTTTAAACAGATTGGGGTGAAGTCGCTACGATTTGTTAGTATATGCATATTGTTAGTAATTTTTTTATATATATATATATATATATATAAAAAGTATTGCATGTATTTTTACTAAAAAAGTATTTTGTGTTTTGATTTTGTTTGGTGCTGTCAATGTTTCTCCATATTTGGCACCCTAACTGGTGCATCTCTAGTCAGGGTGTACCTGGGAACAATTACAATTAAGAACCTCCAATCGACCAATCAGAGGCCTTGCTGCCGGATATAGTTTATCGTCACACCCAGGGTTAGACACTAACAGGTATTACAATATGGTGGTCCTGGGAACAGCAGCAATTAAGAAGTGGTTCCAGGCTCCTCAAAAGCTTCTGCTCAGAGGTATTGCTGCCGGATGTAGTTTATCGTCATACCCAGAACTAGGTACTAACGGGTGATGCCACACCGTTAGGGTGGACCTGAGAACAACAGCAATTAAGAGGAAGCGTCTCCACGTTACTCAAAACCTCCAATCTCCTGATCACAGGCCTTGCTGTAGGATGGAGTTTATCGTCATGCCCAGGACTAGTTACTATATGTGAAAGAATATAAGAAAAAGAACAAACATTATTAAGTCTAGAAAACGGTAAAAGAACAGGAATTATGAAGACAGCAAATAACGCATTTATTTTTTTGAAGGTCAAATTGGAGAGCATGGAGCCGGAAGAGAGTTCCACAAGCGAGAAGTGCGAGAGAAGAAAGTATTAGCATAGAACTTACGGTTGCATCTAGCCAGTTTGATTATGCGTCGACTTAGAAGGTACGCGTTCTGACCATGTGACCCCGAGTTCGAATGTCAATGAGGTGAATTCTAGATAATATAGTTGATGGTGGTGTGTGTGTGTGGGGGGGGTAGATGACCACAGCTTGTGCCGGCTTATAGCCATATCACGTTGAAACACCGGTTCTCGTACGATCAGCGAAGTTAAGCAACGTTGAGCTCGGTCAGTACCTAGATGGGGGACCGTTTAGTAATACCAAGTGCTGTAAGCCTGGATGCGCGGGTGGTGTAAATGACTCCGAATTGGAAATCGAAAAGTCGAGTTATAATTCCAGTCGAGTTTACTTCCAACCAAATACTCTTGGGAAAAGGAATTAATCCACCTCTTCTCCCCAGATATGGGTTAAATAGCAGGACTTGTATGAGTAAATCGCTGTTTTCTCAAAAAAATACAATCTGGAAATATATTCTGACTTTAAATAACGATCAGTCAGTCAACCCAACATATGACACTTGTCTTAAAGAACATTTGATGCCTAATTACACAGAAGTTATATATATATATATATATATATATATATATTGAACAATAAAAAAGTATTAAAAAATTAAATTTAAATTATATATATATATAAAAATTATATATATAAAACATTAAATTTAAATTATATATATATATATATATATATATATATATATATATATATATAAATATAAAAGTGAACATAGAAGTCAACACTTAGAGGCGACAGTCTGTTTCATGCTATATGCAATCGTCCAGGCCACGTGTGCTGTTATTTTTCTCGGCTATTTATATATATACGGGTTAGTGGTGCATTGTGGGTATTCTATTATGGCGGTTATTTTTACCGGAAGTCGCTTTGTTCATTTATTTGGGTCAAGTTATATTGCTCGTTTTTTATTTATTTTATTTTATTTTATTTATTTTTATTTATTTATTTATTTTTTTTTTTTCTTATTTTATTTATTTATTTATTAACGTAGTAAAAAATTTGTTTATATCACGTATTTAACAGTTTTGTTTTGGTTTGAGAATTTAATTAAAGCTATTTGTTCAATTTTGGGGTTGGTTGTTGTAGTTCATTCTAACTATTATTTTTTTTGGCAGGAACAATTTTTTAATTTGGGATTGGTTTGCCTATTTATTTACTTGGATGAATTTAGGTCAATTTATTTTTATTTTTTCTCTTTTGGTTTTCGGTTTTAAGCAACATAATACTTATTTATTTATTTTATTTATTTATTTATTTATTTTTTTTTTTTTATTTATTTATTTTTATTATTATTGTATTTGTTTTTATTTTATTTTTTCCGTTTTCATTTTTTAGGTTACGTAGTAAAATTTATTTTCATGCCTGCATTTTGAGATGAGCTCGGATCTTTTATTTAATAATTTATTTTGGTCGGGGAAAGTAATGATAGCTATTTTTTCCTCCAAGCAAAAGTTTGCAAGTTTTTGATTGGTTGTTGTAGGCTGATGACTTTTTCCTTATCTTCCAAGATATTTTTGGTGTGATGTGCGTTTTGTTTTTTATTTCCCAGATATACTTAGAAAGCATAGTACTGTTCGCATATTTACTATTTGTGAACGATGTTTTGTGTGTATAATTTCTTTGCTTCCAGGGTCCTTCAGTTACTCCTATGTATACTTTTTCTTCGTTATCTGGTGATTTTATCGTGGCTTGGTATATTACGTTGTTTTGTAGACAATTTCCGTTTAAGGGACATTCGTTCTTTATTCTGCAGTTGCACGTGGGTTTAATTTGTTCGTGTGGTTTGTTGATAATTTTCCTATTGTGCTTTTTTATTATTTGTGCCATGCTCTCGGTGCAGCTGTAGCTGATTTTTACTGTATTTTTGTTGAACAAAAACAATCCCAAATTAAAAAACTGTTCCCGCCAAAAAAATAATAGTTAGAATGAACTACAACAACCAACCCCAAAATTGAACAAATAGCTTTAATTAAATTCTCAAACCAAAACAAAACTGTTAAATACGTGATATAAACAAATTTTTACTACGTTAATAAATAAATAAATAAAATAAGAAACAAAAAAAAAAAAAAAATAAATAAATAAATAAAATAAAATAAAAAATAAATAAAAACGAGCAATATAACTTGACCCAAATAAATGAACAAAGCGACTTCCGGTAAAAATAACCGCCATAATAGAATACCCACAATGCACCACTAACCCGTATATATATAAATAGCCGAGAAAAATAACAGCACACGTGGCCTGACGATTGCATATAGCATGAAACAGACTGTCGCCTCTAAGTGTTGACTTCTATGTTCACTTTTATATTTACACACGCCCTATCTCTGATATTGAGCACTTTATCCCATAAATATAGCACACCTTAAGACTATATTTCTTTATATATATATATATATATATATATATATATATATATATATATAATTAAATACACACAGACCAGCCAAAGGCTATCTGCAGCATACTCATTGATAATACAAATATAATAGCCTCATCCACGTGCAGAAAGTGGTTAACAATATTGGAAGCATTATTAATAAAAAAAAAAAAATGAAAAAGCAAGCATCAGCTATGAACACGGCCACAATGTACTGACCGTGTTCGGGAAATAAAACTTTCCTATAACTTTAGATACAAACATAAAAACATTTATACATTAAGTTAAAAGTTAACAAATAAAATCATCCTTGATAATGGCTAAAAGAATTGATGAAAACAAGACATTGAGAACATTCGGACAATTTCTACATAATTTATGTCCCGAAAAAAAAAATATATATATATAAGAACACATGAAAAATTAAATAAAACAATGCAGCATTTTGTTCGTCGTTTTAAACGAAAAAAAATGATAAAAAAAAGGATTGCTGTCCATGTCAGTCAGTTCTACGCCATGCGTGATACACGCGTAGGCGATCATGTATCTTTCGATCCATGACTGACCAAGCAGATTTTTTCCACGGAGTAGTACGCCATTCCTTTCTGCGGTAGACCAATTGCCTTCTAAGGCTATAGAACCTGCCATGCTATTTACCCATAGCTGGGGAGAAGAAGATGATTAATACCTTTCCCAATGGTATTATTAGAACGTAAAGGATTCGACTGGAATTCGAACTCGGCTCTCTGATTCCTCAATCCGAGCCGAATTCCATTATTCCACCACGCCTTCTATGTACCAAATGACACGCTACCCATGTACATATTATATATATATATATATATATATATATATATATATATATATATATATATATATATATATATATATATATATATATATATATTTTAGGTACAGTACATTTCTTGATGGTTCATTTCACTTGCTCTACAAACATTGCTTGGGGCTACAAATGATAGGAAGTTGTGGAGAGCTGTAAACAACCACTTTCTGAAGGGATGCCGCACACAAAAGTAGATTATTTAGTACATCTAATAGTGGTTCATTTCACATAATTTTAAAAATTACTACAATGGATAGGAAGTTGAGGAGAGCCATGATCGCCCAGTTCCTATAGGGGCATGTCAGATAAAAGAGATCTATTGTAAATTTAGCGGTGGTCCATTTTACTTGTTCTACAAACATTTTTAAGAGCTACAGAGGATAAGACGTTGTGGAGCGCCATGGCCACCCATATCGTGAAGACACATAGCTGAAAATGAGGAGGCATATCGACGTAGTGTTATGGTTAGCCAGCTGATCTCGCTATATCAATTACGAGTTCGATTCTCAGTGCTCTATACTTTCGGCCTTGTGCCATACTTATCAGCGTCTTAGAAAGCCAACATAAATGAAAAATCATGATACAGAGCAACCTCGGTTCTCGAACGTCTTACATGTCGAACAATTCGGTTTTCGAACAGAAAATTCGAGATGAAGATGCCTCGGTTATCGAATAAATTTTCGGTTTTCGGACAACATTGCCGAACCGAGCCAAACCGAGTTAACCCGAGCCGAACCGAGTTAACCCGAACGGAATCATTTTTGAGTCGACCGCCATGTTGTATACATTCGTGTGTTGTGCTTTTCTTTCCCAATTTTAATGTATTGTGCCTTTTTTTTCTCTTTATTAGTCCTCATTCATGGCTCCAAAGAAAGCCAGCAGTGACACTGATAAAGGAAAAAGAAAAGAGAAAAACAATTGATGATATTGTCTCTTCTTAGACAGTTTCATATGGCAAAATCAATGATCTATACTATTCTTATAAATAAAGAGACAATCATGTCTTTCTTTCCCTTTTCCAAACAATACCATCTCTTTCCTTCCCTCCCACTTACGCCATCAACTCTCCTACGGTACGGTAAAATTAAAAAGTTCGTATCTTGGGTTTTATTTATTTTTTTCTTAGATTTAATAATTTTCATTAGTTTTGTGTATAAAACAGCACAAAAATACTGTTGTAAAAGTTTAAATAAGCAATCATCTTGAGACCAGGAATGGATTAATCCATTTTACATTGATTCTATTAGTAAAATAGTTTCGTTTACGAATATTTCGGGTTACGAACAGACTTCAGGCACGAAGTAACTTCGTGAACCGAGGTTCTAATGTATATGTAATTCTGCATGAAGGCAAGCTACTTTGCGTGCGTCATCTAAGCCAGCCAAAAGGAGAAAAGCGTGATAAAAAGGATTTACGGTGGGTTTGTTACGCACACTGTCATTCACACTGAGAGATTTAGACCACCTTCGAGCGATCCGAGGTCACAAATGGGTGACGCCATTATTGTTTTGAAACGCTCTATCAAACTAAGGCCCAGGGTGCCGCAGAAGGTTGGTGGGAGGGCGACGTAACAAAGGAATCATTTTACGTCGTATTCAAGGAATTTAGATCTGGTTTTTATTGCTTGCTTTTCATCACATACGAAAACACACACACACTTAGGCGTAAACATATGTAGAGTTATTTATGAGTTATCAACTTCGTCTGACACAAGGCCATGTCAGAACGAAGAGAATTTATTCTTTAATTTTTGGCTGAAAAGGTAATGATTTCTCGGGTGTTATTTAAAACTTTGCAAATGCTTTTATTTGCGTATAATCATCGGAACATTTTAGAAGAAAAGGTAATTATTTCTCGATATTAATGGTTATAATATTGTTATTTAAAAAAAAAAAAACTTTTAGCAAATGAACTTTTGATATCTGTCCTCCTATATGGCAGTGAATAATCATCAAGAGAAACAAAGAAAAGACATTAATCTTTTAAGATTGTTGGAGAAAGCAAGAAAAAAAAAGAAAATTGGCTCA